GATTAACATACTAAGTGAAGCAAGTGAGTTGGAGAAAGACAAATATTATATGATATTGCTTATATGTGGAATCTAAAAAAATGATACAAATGAACTTATTTACAAAACAGAAATAGACTCACAGACATAGAAAACAAAGTTATGATTACCAAAGAGGATGAGGGGGAAGAGATAAATTAGGAGTTTGGGATTAACATATACACACTACTATGTATAAAATAGATAAACTACAAGGTCCTATTTTATAGCACAAGGAACTATATTCAATGTCTTCTAATAACTGATGATGGAAAAGAATATGAAAAGGAATATATATATACCCATATATATCTATCTCAATCACTTTGCTGTACACCTGATACTAACACAGCATTGTGTAAATTGACTGTACTTCAATAAAAAAATAAAGAATGGTAGTAAAGTGAGAGGTTAAGAGACTGTTAAACAGCTCAAATGAGAAAAGATTAACACAAGAGAACATAAGAGCATAACAGTGTTGTAAGAATGGCCATTTTTAGAGTAGGAGATGGTTTGGGAGTAGATCAAATAATTGATTTAAAGGAAGAATAGAAGCTGAGAAGGAGCCCAAATTTTCTAGATTAGGAAATAGGAGAGCTAATGAGGCCCCTGACTAGGATAAGAAATAGAGAGATACAATAGGTTTTGATGGGAAGGTAATTAGTTAATCTTGATTAATGAGAAATATCTAACTGGATGTGTTCAGTATGAGTTGAAAATATGGATCTGAAGGTCAGGGCTGAAGTTTTAGATTAATTTATCATCAGCCTATTGATGGTAATTGGATCTGTAGTGATTGTCAAATCATCCAAGGAGAAAATATACTCACTTGCAGAGGGAGAAAAGATGGACTGCTAATTGCTTCCCTCAGCCTCTATCTTCCATCTCCTCCTAATTTTAATCTTGTGTCTAAGAGAACAGGCAAGGCATCTTGACTTCTTAAGCAGCTTGGCCTGTGTGACTTATGGGACATAGAGGATGTGCTCTATGGAATGTCCTGGAAAGTTTCTTAAAAGAGGCAAGGCACTCCTTTCTTTTCTGTCTCTCCTCTTCCAGATTGCCCAGGACAGAATGTTTGGGACATGATGTAAACTTGAGGATGGAAGTTATTTATTACAATGCAGCCTTCCTAAAGACCATGGGAACATATTCTTGTAGAGTTTTCCATCTTATTTAAGCCACTTGTGTCAAACCTAATCCCAACTAATAAAAATGAGTACTAATGTTATTGCAGTGAGAAACTCCTACATTTAAGGAATGATCTGAGAAGGAATTGCCAGTTGCAAAGACTGAGAAAGGTGAGACAGAAGGGCATGGCATACTAGAAAGCAAGAGAGAAATATAGCTTGAAGAGGTAGATGGAGACAATAGTGGCAGATGTTTGAAAAAGATCAGGCAGAAGGGACTTGAATATAGGATCTTAAATTTAGAACTCCAAAATTCCTGTTGACTTTTAAGAGAGCAATTTCAAGAGAGTGGTAACCAAGTGAAAGCTAAGTTAAAGTGGGCTTCTAAGTGAATGAGAGTCAGAGAAGCTGAATTAGTATTTAATTTCAGGAATTAGGGAAATAGGGCAATAGGTTAAAGATAAGATAAAGTGGAAAAAGAGATGTTTTATGTCTTTTCTCACAACCAAACTGTATCTCCAATTATCATGATTCTGCTAATATTGGCTATTGTTTATTAAATTAAGAGGTTGCTTATTCTTTGCTAACAAACTCAAAGCCTTCAAAATAAATGAGAAATGAATGGCCCTTCACAATCAAAGTTGATTTCATTTTGGGACCCAATTCTGTCCCTAATACTGTGATATTCTGGAAAATAAAATACAAATACTTCCAACTCCAATTCTGTGGAGGCAGATGTGTGGTGTAAAGGTGGTAGGCCGAGAAATACTATGGCACTCTAATGTCTGAAATGAATGAAAATCCTTTTAATTTTGAAGAAGTTCATATCCAGTTATACAAAGTTGTGGGGGACGTCACTTATTTGTATGAATGGTTTTCAACAGCACATAAGGAAATGCAAGGATACTGGGGCTTCATATGTGACTCATTTGCAAGCTCTTTTGCTCATCTATTTTCTGCTCCCCAGGCACTGGACAAGAGCCCTGGCATCTTTCCTTCTTCTCACCCCTCCTCCCTACCTCCTTATTCTTCTCCTTCTCTTCCATCCTTCCTTCCTTCCTTCCTTCCCTCCTTCCCCTTCTTTCCTTCCTAGGAGAAAGGATGCATTTACATTAGGATAGAAACTGTGCAAGTGAGGGCAATGTACTGGGATCCCAATATGCTTGGAATATTTTAATACATTTCCAAGGGTAAGTGGCAAGTGGTTCTCACTAGAATAAAATGTGAGTTAAAGATTGGGGCCATGGGCTTCCCTGGTGGCGCAGTGGTTGAGAGTCTGCCTGCCGATGCAGGGGACGCGGGTTCGTTCTCCGGTCTGGGAAGATCCCACATGCCGCGGAGCGGCTGGGCCCGTGAGCCATGGCCGCTGAGCCTGCGCGTCCGGAGCCTGTGCCCCGCAATGGGAGAGGCCACAACAGTGAGAGGCC